CATTAATCATGCGTATTATGGAGTATGACCAGGGTTGCCATGTCTCCCCCCATCAGCGGGAGATTCCTGCAATTTTTTAGTTTACACGCAGACATTTCTCTCCCGCAAAACTACCGCAATTGGAAATCTCCCGCAAAAATCGGTTCCCGTTCTAAATCGCTAAAACAAAAATCGCTAAAAATTGGGAACATGTCTTATATCTCCTAGAAAATTTTTAAAGTAAATTTGAAATTAATATTAATAGATACTAGGGGACTAAACACTTGTATTATTGAAAATTTAAAAAAAATCGCTAAAATGGAAGAAATATCATCCAAAATCCCCGTTTTGGGAATCAAATTGGGAATTTGGATGATATTTCTTCCATTTTAGCGATTTTTTTTAAATTTTCAATTTAAATACAAGTGTTTAGTCCCCTAGTATCTATTAATATTAATTTCAAATTTACATTAAAAATTTTCTAGGAGATATAAGCAATGTTCCCAATTTTAAGCGATTTTTGTTTTCGCGATTTAGAACCTATCCCCAAAAATCAACTGCAATTTTTTAATTTCTCCCGCAATTTTTTTAAAAAGTATTTTAACGTTTTTAATATATATATAAATAATAATTTTGAGAGACATTAATTGATTATTTTTATATTTTTAAAATAAATTTTAAATATTTATTCGAAAAACATGTCTAGTTTTTAAATTTATTTCTATCCTGTTTTATTTTTATACAATAATAAATCAACATCATTTCATTTATATAAGTCAGTACAAGGGAGTATATCAACATCGATTGCAATACAAAAATATTCTCAAAAATAATAAATAATGCAGATGCACATACATTTGCGGAAATTGTATACATCTATCATGTAGTTCAACATTCACAAAGCTATATCATCACAATGTGGGTCGAATCTTTTTCTCATGATATTTAACGACTTCAATATAAGTGCAAACCTTACTTGTGACAAAACAAAAATGAGCAATATCACAAGTGTTTTAGTACCTGAATCCTAGAGGTCAATTCTAGATGATTTGAAAGATGGGCATCCATATGCAATTCTAACAGATGCATTTAATAAGGGAAATATTAAAACATTTTCCTCGATCCTTCCCTATTTCAACAAGAATAAGAACATTTCAATAAAACTGTTAAAATTTTTTCCTCGGATATTGAAAAATCTAACAATGTAGCTAGCCACATAATGGTATAGCTGATTCAGGGTTACAATGATTTGCATGTCAGCTTTCTGCGCTGATAATGCCTCTGTAAATTTTGGCAAAAACCAAAGTTACCGAATTGAGGCAGCACAATAATGAATTAATACCAATTGGCTGTATATGCCATATACTACATAATTCTTGCAAGAAGGCAATGAATATACTATCTGAGGATGTCGAAATAATTGTGATGAAATACGAATTTAATTTATCAACTAAAAGAGTTAATGAATTAAAAGAGTTGATGAAGTGGTCTGACTTGGAAAGGTGTGAGTTGTTGCGATATATACCTATCAGGTGGTTGTCATTAATACCTGCCATCGATAGAGTTTTAAAATTTTACAAACCTTAAAAAAAATACTTCTTAAATAGAGATTTTAAAAGCTATCCTAAAATTTTGAAAAATTTTTTCGAGTATAAATGGCAGAAGCATATTTGGAATTCGTTACACATGTAGGAAATCTACTTTATGCAATTAATATTCCTTTGCAATCAGAATACTCTTTATTAAAAAAGATTCACAAAATCATGCTACAGCTCTGTTCATCTCTACAGTTAAAAATTGATAATAAATTTTATGGCGCTATTGCTAAAAATATTATATTAAAATGTTCAAACAATACTCTAATTAATACATTTTTAAATGATGCAGATATTTTTATTAAGACAATTTTAGAATATTTACAATCAAAGTTTGATTTTAATAACTCTATTTACAAATGTATAAATATTATGACCTTGGAACAGAAATCATCAATTGATGGTTTTTATAATTTAATAAATATATTAAAAATACCGAAAGACATTGATATCTTGTTTGAGGAGATTGTAATTCTCTCTATTTTTTATGATTCGCCAAAATACTTAAAGTTAGATGGTCTAAAGCAGAGGAGAAATGGGTAGAATTTTTTAATAATAACGATAAATCTCCATGCTTGGAAAAAATATGCGAGTATGTCTTCTCCTTACCTCATTCTGATGCCTCATCCGAGCGCATTTTTAGCCTGATGAGAACCACCTGGGAAAAGGAGGGAAATGATTGCTTTAACAACATTAGAGGCCGAGCTAATGGTTAAACAAATATATAATATGTCATGCGAGGAATTTTATAAATATCTCAATAACAACGGTAAACATTTAGTTCTATTATTTAAATATAAAATAAAATTAAGTTTCAGCAATGGCGCTATAAAATTTATTGTCAATTATTTAGTGTAAAGATGAATACATCTTCAGCATAATTTTGTGAATCTTTATTAAGATTCTTCTGATTTCAACTACACATTAACAGCATGTAGTAGATTTCTTACATGTGAAATCATTCCTAATCTGCCATTCATTATTGAAAAAAATTTTCAAAATGTTAGGACAGCTTTTATAATCTTTATTTAAGAAATATTTTTTAAAGGTTTAAAAAATTTTAAAATTCTATCGATGGCGGGTATTAGGAACATATCGCAACCAACATTGTGCTGACTCATGTCTGTAAATACACTCTGTTTTTACCAAATTCACTGAGGCATTATCAGATCAGAAAGCTTACATGCAATTTATTGATAATCTCGAATCTGCTATATTTACCAATATATGGTTATCTATGTCTTTAGATTTTTCACTATTTGAGGGGGAAAAATTTAATAATTATATTGAAATGACCTTAATTTTGTTAAATTTCAGAGGATCTAGGGAGATATTTTAATATTTCCCTTATTAGATACATCTGTTAGAATTGCATATGTATGCCCATCTTTCAAATCGTTAAGAATTGACCTCCTGGATTTAGGTCCTAAAACATTAATGATAGCCTTGCTCATTTTTGTTCTACAAGTATAGTTTTCATTTATATTAGAGTCGTTAAATATTATGGGGAAAAGTTTCTACTAACAATGTGATGATAAGTATCTCTGTGAATGTTGTACTACAAGATAAGTGATTATAATTGCCGCAACTGTAGTTGCATCTGTATTATTTCTTATTTTTGGAGTACCTTATTATGTATTTAAACGTGATAAGTGATAATTAAGCACCTATCCCTATAATGTTATACACACACACGGTAGATTTACAATTGCGTTAGTTTTGCGGGACATTCGCATAAAATATTTTTTTAATTGTAAAATTAAATTGGTTTTTTTAATATAAAATTTTATTTTGTTTACATTCTTTTATATTTAAAAAAGATCGTTTGTTTTTTTTAATTAACATATTTTAATTAATCAAGATGTTATTTTATTTTGAAAAATAGTTAACGACTTTGTATTTATAAACTAATTATAAAAAATAATAGGCGGATAACTAAGTCAATTCAAAATCACGGGCAAAGGCTGAGAATTTTTTTTTTAGCAATTTTTATATTTCTACCACAATTTACATTTTTCTCCCGCATAATACCAAATTCCTCCTGCAATTTGAAAATTTTGACCTGGCAACCCTGAGTATTACACGTGTCGAGTGGGATGTAGCCTCACATCCTCCAGGAACATTAAAACCAAGTTGGTTTGGTTGTAGTAGGTTGAATTGGTTTAATTATATACTGGAGCAAATTATTTTAGAAATTATTTGCTGGAATCTCTACTGCAGTCTGATGTCCGCATTTGTTTTATTTAAGGATATTAAGCGGGCTCTAAAAATGACGTGCTAAATGGTGTTAGGTATATTATTATGAAAAATATGATTGAACAATATGGTAAAAATTGTGTGAGTGTATTTTGATATGGGGGTAAGGTTGGTTTAATTATATCTTGCAGAGAAATGGCTCAAAAGCCATCAATGCCCCCAGAAAAATCTTTTTTGGATGACATGATTGCATTCAAGATTTCCATCTCAGTTAGTAAAATGGGATTATTAGAGGGTGGAAGGATGATTTGTGAAAAATCTTGAGGATGTTTTGATTGTATAGCCATTAGATTTTTTCATCATTGGGGGCCATAGTATCGCTAGGACAAGCTATGTTGATAGCTAAATTTATATTGCATATATTGGTTTTATTTTCAATAAGCTTAGCCTCTTTTTTTATCGGCCAAAAGCTTATTGAAAGAATGTATAGGTTGTTTGGGTATAGTTATTTTTTATACCTGAACATTCAAAGAAAAAATTATTAGTTTTTTTTATATTTTACTTTTACATACTTAATTTGCTTTAAAATTATTCTTATTTAAGATTTTTTCTTTATTTTCTTTATTAAATATAATAAAAATATATTTCTTTATTCATATTCATATTTATTTTTATTTTTGTATATTATATACCGTAATATTTTTTGATGCACAGAGATTAATAAAGATGTTTTTTGATTAAAAATAAAAAGAATAATATATATTTTATAAATTCTGGAGCCAAAATAATAGATATAAAGTCGATATCAATTTGTGAGGTCTAATAGAGTAGGTGACCCTTTGACAGGTTGTCATTCTTCACATTTTTGAAAAATTGCAGAATATTCTTATTTTCAGATGAGAAAATTTTGTCGATCAATAAATTTATAATAATTATATGAATTGTAAAGAACTTTGTATTAATTTCAACAGAACCTTCTAAAGTTTTTTTCTGTCTAATTTTTTAAACTTCTAAGAATTTTTCTTTATGTGACATGAATATTATACCAAGATTGTAACTGTCTGTAATCTTGTTAGCATTAACATGCTTAAATATTAAATTATATTTTCATAATTATTAAATATTTTTTACAAACAATTACATAAATGTTTATTTTCTTTTATTTTAATATGTAATACATTATTTTATTTTATAAGGTATTATTAGCCTTGTTGCATTTTCCATATATCATAATAGAGTTCTATAATAACATATTTTAACTTAGATTTATACCTAAATCTAAATGAGAAAGGAAATATTTTATAAATATTGAATTGAAATTTTCTATTTAAATATTCTTTCATTTATGAATTTTTAATTTTTTAGCTATAAATTTTGCATTTTAAATATTCTTTATAGGTTTTGTATGTGCTTTTCTTATAATTGGAGATAAATTATTGATTCATAATAGTATTAGTTCCTGCTATTTGACAATATTTTGAAAATAACACATTCATGTACCTTGGACTAGACCTAAGCACTCAAAAATTAAAGGCCTTGTTGCTCAACGAATCTCTACACATTGTTAAATATTTTGAAGTTGATTTTGACAGAGAATTGTCAGAGTTTAACACTCAAAATGGTGTAATCATTAACTCCTGTGAGGCTGACAGTACATCACATATTGAAAATAAACATAATAAAAATGCCCCTTTTAATGAAATATTTGGCATAAAAAGTAAGTCATTAGAATATAAATGTCCCCCTTTTTTATGGGTTGCGGCTTTGGATCTTTTAATAAACAAAATTAATAATGATAACAGTGTACATTTAAATCAGATAAAATGCATTGCGGGTTGTGCCCAACAACATGGAAGTGTATATTGGCGTAAGGATTGGAAAAAAAACATAAATATTTTTTTAAATTATGAAAATAAACAAGAAAAATATTCAAATATAGATGATATGCCATCAATTAAATTAGATTTCAATCAAAGTTTACTCTTAAACTATCAACACTTAAGGCCTTTCTCTGTTGATTTGAGTCCAGTTTGGTTAGATTCAAGCACTGGCGAGCAATGCAGACTACTGAGGGAATGTGTAGGATTTAAATGGTATAACATACCTTTGGAAGAATCTATCAAATTAAGGGATAATAAAAATTTTGATGAATACAAAATTGAAAGTGTCGGAGACAAATTAATTGCAATTTGGACTGGCTCTCGAGTGCAGGAACGTTTTACTCTTCCGCAAGTCATGAAAATATATTCTACCCAGCCAAATAATTACCACAAGACTGAAAGAATAAGTTTGATAAGTAGTTTTTTAGCCTCCCTTTTTTTGCTCCCTCGAATTTATGCTCCAATCGATTTCGCTGATGGCTCCGGAACCAACTTTATGCATATTGTTTATAAAAGCTGGTCTACTCAAATTATGGATTCGCTTTTACAACAACCAAGATTTAAAGAAATGTCTCTGCTAACTTCTAAATTAGGAGAACCATGTCAACATTCTAAAGATGAAAATTTTTCACCTTTCTCCTTCAAACGCTATTATAAAAGTCAAGCAAAAAACGTTTTGGTTTCATGTGCAGATGAGAAAAATAATGTCAGCTCTGTTGGAAATGAATCAAATAAGAGTTCCACCCCACTTTTTAAAAATTATCTTGAATTCTCGGAAGAGTATGCACCATCTTTAGTACCAACTCCTACTATACTAGGAACCATATCGCCTTATTTCGTGCAACGTTTTCACTTTAATCCAGAATGTAAAATTGCTGCCTTTACAGGCGATAATTTGGCCTCTCTGGTAGGCTCTAGAGCAGGACCGACTGACCTTATTATAAGTCTAGGTACCAGTGACACTATATTATTTTGGAATCGCATAAACCCAGAGTCTAGGAATATCATAGTTTCTGCCGACCCTCAACATAATTGTCCTTTTGATTCTACTACGACAACTAAAAAAAATGGTCTGAATGAGTGTTCTGAAGCTCGGAATAAATCATTAGAAAATGTTGGATCGGAGGCAAACCACTTTGATACGCTTAATGGTCCCTCGGCTATTGATTCAGCTCATTCATTTGTCAATCCTATATCACCCTTCGAGCATTACGTTGCCCTTTTGTGCTACAAAAACGGTTCTTTAACACGTGAGTCTATACTTGAAGCCAACATTTTAATGAATAAAAGTGAGTGCCAGGCTTCATTAACAACGGGGAAAGCTATATGGAACATATTCGATGAGATCCTAAGTCTCACGCCTGCGGGAAATAACGGTAACATCGGATTTTATTATTGCGTATCCGAGATTACGCCCAGACTTAAAGTATCATTTTCTGCGTCCACCGAGGAGAAAGGGCAAGTGGCCGATGAAAAGGAAAAGGGGCAGATATATCTTCAAAATAATCCTTTGATTTATAGGTACGATGTCGAAAGAAAACTCATACCACCCGGGGAAAATAAGGAGAACTCAAAGTATTCCAATTTTTTGCATCGTTACAGCGGGCCTTTCCCCTCTGAAAATTCGTTTAGTCACGAATTGAGAGCCTTGATCGAGGGTAGATTTATGGCTATGAAAAACCACGTTAAAGCCTTAAGAAAAGGGCAACGAGGGTGTGTCAATAGCTATGACGCCATTAAATTTAATAAAGGTATATTAAAATAAATAATATTTTTATATAAATATTAAATTACCCTAAAATTCAACTATTAAACAAGAATTTGAAAGGATTATTGTTAGCGGAGGAGCATCTATAAATCCTAATATTTTGCATATCATGTCAAATGTTTTTGGCTTGCCCGTGTATATTCTACCAGAACAGTACTTAGAGTCAAAAGGTATATTTCATAAAAATAGAATAATTATTAATATTCATTCATCATAATTGAACATAATTATAATTGCCATATTTTATATTTAGGCTCCTCTTTTGTTAATTTTTATATATAACTAGACGAGACGAAATCTAAATTGCTAACTGAATCTGCAGCCCTTGGCTCAGGATACCTAGCAAAGTTTTCCTTAGAAATAAAAAAATATATCGAATCCCAATCTTTTTATCACAATAAAGATTCAAATACCGACCATAAATCTCTCACTGATTTTAACAATTCAATTCCATTTTCTCAATTATTTGACGATATGACGAAATCATTAAATTCTCCAAGACTTTTGATAGAACCTGATCTAAATATTACCAAAAATATATATGATAAGTTGTCCAAGTTTTATAATGATCTGGAAAAGGAAATAATTTTGAAACATCACTTATAATTTTATTTATAATATTTATTGTTGCAAACATTCCATGTTTTAAATATCAATTATCGCTTAATAAAATAGAATTAACCGTTCGTTAATTAGGTATGGTTTATATGACCCAAGACCTTTTAAAATTACAATAACAATTAAACTATTTATTAGTTTGATCTTAATAGCTTAATAATTTTGTAAAAAAAATTTTAATTTGAAAGATAAAAAATTTAGATTTTTTTTTGACTACCTGTATAATAGAGGTCTGCAAATGGCAAAATTTTTAGGTCCGGCCTGGTTGAAATTTAGTTTTTCCCCGGCCAGCCAAATTCGTATCAGGCTCGTTCGTTTCCAATTTTTGTAAAGTTGCTTTGCCCAGCTTTTTTAAATACAAATAACCCGAAATATATTTTATGAAATTGGTTAAATTTAAAACACTACACTATATCATCACTATCAAATTCATCGATAATCTAGCCCAATAACCTTTTGCCCAACTTTTTTTTTCTTGAGAGGGGGAGGGGGATTTAGAGGGAAAATATTTATTTTCTAACAGGTAACAGACGATTTTGAAACTCCTAGAAATTAAAATTTTAAATGATGTGAATTTTTTTAAGATGATATAAACTCAGAAAATACTTTGAGACCATGTCATTTACGCTTTAATTTATATTTACCATGAGCCATTTTGTTAATTTCATAATATTAAGATATGTATCTATGTTTGTTATAGCCTGAATGACATTTTTACGTATGTTTCATGTATAAATAGATTAATTCCAGGGTTGGCAAGTCGGTCAATTGACCAGTCAAATTCAGTCAATTGACCGGAGGAGTATTTGACCTGTCAAATACTCTAAAAAATTTAAAGGAAAAATAAATTAAAAATATGTTTAAAAAAGGGAAAAAAGATGTAAATACATGTGATCACAATGTTTGCTTATTTTTCGGGTCCACAATATCAAGAGGAAAACTCACTAGTAGTGAAATTAATGAAGTATGTGATATAATTCAAGAATTAGCTATTTTACAAGGTAGTGATGACCAAAATATTTTAAGTGATATAATTAATTTCAGAAGCAAAAACAGCATGTTTAATATAGCAAAATATGTGGAAAGTAGTAATTTCCAGAAACAATCAATTCCGACCTCAAGTTAATAGATTAAACTTTGTCTACCCTGCCCATTAAGAGACTAACAATTCCTAGTTCTACTTCTTCTTTATAAAGAAATAGGTCGATTTGGGTTAATATTCTTATGAAAATAGAAATCGATTTAAGATCTAAGATATCAGGAAAATTGTTTAAAAAAATATTAAAGAAAATGATAATATTGAATATGAATCAGAACAAGACTCTTATACAGATAGCTACACGTTAGTTATTGAATGAATTTAAAACATTAATATTATAGATTCATTTTATTATTATATTCAAAATAAAGTTAATATTAACTTTAAAAAAATATATTTGAATTTGACCACATTTGACCGTATTTGACCATATTTGGCCTGTCAAATATCGGTCAATTGACCGAAACGTATTTGACCGGTCAAATGCACAACCCTGATTAATTCTAATAGCCAATATGAAACCTAATAGAATAGGCTATTTTCAGGAGAAACCATAGAGAAAAAAGCTCAATTATTCCAATAAAATCCTAGGGAAGAGTCTCTAATAACTATTGTCAAATACAATCGTTAATTAAGTTATTAATGGATAAAATTATGAATTTAATACTGAAAAAAGGAATATAAATAACATGATTTAGTTTGCAAATATATAGTAAACAAGACATCAACATACTTGACGAATCAAATAAATCAGTGGACGCTCTTTCCTTGTAAATAATTCAGAAACGTGATGAGCATGTGAAAAGCACTTAGATGGTTTGACTTATAAGAGAGTTTACTCTCTAACCTTATAAGTGCTCTTCATTATTTAATTAATAATAAATCATTTGAGGTTAACCTCATCATTGGCTAAATCTTTGATTAAGAATCTGTGCAAATTTAAGTTAAATAAGCTCCAAATTTTTTGAAAATTTATCAAATAATGGGCACCTTATTTTTAAATTTAGATATTTTATCAGCTTGGAAAAGGATAGAGGATACCAAGTTTTCTACTTTTATAACCTTCACATTCTTTCTAAATAAAGCCAAATCATGACTACAAATTTGAACGAAAAACTGATTCCAAACTACCAGTGTCAGCGTCTAGATGAAGGGGGTGGGGTAAAATTTGCTTCCAATTTTTGAGGGGGATAGGCTAGAGGTAGTATAAATTTATTGGAGGGAGGTTATCTACTAAATTTAGATAAAATAGCGTAAAATGTGTAGCCGTAAAAAATTATTTAACACTTTTATTATTGATCTGATCTATTATAATAATGCTATGACTTGCCTAACATCGACCAAATTTATATATTTCATATAATCAGTCATTATTTTTCAAATAAAACTTATTTCTGGATAATTTTCTGCTAGATTTTAAAATGAAATTTAAAAGGGTTAGACATTCTATCAGCAAACTCATATTCATGCCAAACAATATACTATTATAATGCATTGCATTCATTGTAAATGAGGGAGTTTATGATTTTAACTTTTTTGTATTTGGTAATAGAGTAGAGTATTGATATTTTAAAATATATGAAGTAGTGTTGTTAAAAAGTCGAGTTTTTACTAGATTGTCTTAAGAGTTGACTCGATGACCGTTCTATGAGTCGGCTCAATTTTATTTTGCATTGGCTTGCTATTATTTAATACTCCACTAGGAAAATATTTAAAAGTTTAACCAATTTTTTAGGGGTATTTAAATAATTTTAAATTCGAAATTTTAGGATTTATATGTATTATTATAAGAATATACCCATGCTCTTGTTATCTACTCCCAAGAATAATAAAATTTTCTACAATTCTGGTTTGAACTTAAAGGTTTTGAAATAGTTCTATACTTGTTTATTGTTGAAAAATTACTTAGATGTAAACTGAATGGAGTTCGAGTTCATTTAACTGGAAAGATGTATCAATATCATTATAAAAATGTGGAATTTAGGAGATTAAAACACTATTTTCGTCCAAATAATATTTTCACAACTTTTTAAAAAATTAGGTTAATGCTATTTTATCTTAAAGTTTCTAAAAAAAGGAAGAATGAGATTAGTAAACACTTTTAAAAGTATTTTTTCCTTTATTCGTCCTCCTTTTTTCCGTATAAAAGTTGTGATAAAGTTTTTGACATTGGCTTCAGAAGGGGTATAGTTTATATAATAAATTTAAATCTTTTAAATATTTTTATTTGTCGAAGGAATCATTTATACATTACAGGAGGGGAATATAGGGTAAGATCGTAATTAGGAGTTGAAGGGAGGTAAGAGTAAATAAGGATCGAAGTAAATGAATATATAGTTTTCTAAAACTAATTTCATGGTTAATATATTTCTTTTTTTGATAAAAATATTTGGGGTCAAAAAAATTCGTTGGGGGAAGGGTGGTTTTCATTCGAAATAAAATATAATTAATGGAGCATTTTTGTCCAATTTCTTTTAAAATAATTATTTTAGTATAGTTTGTAATTTTTCCCTTCTATTTTTTCTAATAGAAATTGACTACAGATTTTCAGAGGCATTATTATTGTAGTATATAAATCTAGGTTAAAATAATAAAAAATATTTATGGATTTTATCATTTATACTTTTTATCAAATTCAAAACAAAACAAATCTTGGTATAGGGGTAGGTTATGTTCTAGCCTTTCAGATGAATTCTATAGGAATTTTATAAATATTTTCCTGTCGATTTCTATAGTTGCTTTGAAATCGTTTTTAAAATAAAAAAAAATTAAAAATGAGTCTTTTCTTTTGACACCAATCACTAATAGAAGTTTGATATAAAAAAATATCTAAAAGTTTTCGTTTAAATTTTTTAATAAAATTTATATCTCCTGAGCATAAGCCAATGTCAAAATTCTTACAACCTGAACTGTCGTATTTGTAAATACGTAAATGTTTTATATTTTTTTTTAACGCGGAATGCCAATCAACCTAGATTAGATGATATAGATATATGTAAAAGTATTATATAATGATTATTTATTTTTTATTATTATTTTTTTTTAGAAAATTTTTTCTTTTATTTCGGAAATTATTAATAAAGAAAATCATTCTTCGCGAGTTATATTTCCTGTCTGTTTGGTGATTTTTGTAGTTCCGGGAATTTGTTTGACTTGTTTTTGTTTTTTTTCTTAGTTTGTGTTTAAGATTTTTTTTTTAGTGTGCAAGTTAGATTTCGAATAAAGTTTTAAGTTTTTTTTTAGTGGTGCCGTGACCAGGATAGTTTCCTAGGAGTTATTCGGTTTAGAAGGTAAAACAAAAAATTTTTAATTATATAATTTTTTTAAGAATTTTTGACTGCGCATTTGTACTACCATTATACGATTCTAATAGAGAAGTTTTTATTTTAGGTGCTGTATTAATATTTTCTACAAATATTTAAATTTTTGTAATTGATTATTAGTATTAATTAAAAGAATTTATGAGCAAATGGTTTATTTTTTTAGGCCTAGTGGGAAGTATAGTTTTGGGGATAAGGTTCTCTTTTATCAGGATTTGGGTTATAAAGTTATGTATAAGAACTTTAATGAATTGGATTTAGGTAAACAGTTGATTACTGTGGGAATATTATTAATGATGTATTTATTGATTATTATATTGAAATTGTTAGTAAAAAGGGGTACTGCGGTACTGGCAGGCATGTATTGCAATTGGAAGAAGGACACTGCGGTGTCAGATGTTTATAAAAAGAAAGTGGAGGAAACGTATTTTAATTTAATATCGGATATTTATGGGAAGAAAATAGCAGACTTGGAAAGTAATCTAAAAGATGTTTTAGAGGAAATCAAGGCTGGAAATGTTGGGGAGAGGTCAGATAGGATCCTCCTGGAAATGAAAGAAATGAAAGAAGCCATCAATGCGTTGATGAAGGAGAGCAAAGGTCCGGTTAAGAGCCAGGTGAGTGATAGAAATATGAATAAGAAATTTAATGATTA